TTATATTATATGTATGGTTTATATTTATATATACACAACAACTATATATTTATATATTTAATAATATTAATTTTTATATGTGTCATTTTTCACCACTTTTATTGTCTGTCCAAACAAGTCTCACTTGTAAATGAGTCTTCGAGGCTCAATGTGACTTATCTGTTTAAATAAAGGTTGAGTGAATACGTATCAACAAATATAAAGTTCTTTTGGTTCTTTATGAAACAAAAATGTAAAAAGTAAAGAGTTTCAAAAAAATCTACAACCTCTACAAAAAGCAATTTGATGGAATTTTTACATGACCTATATATTTACATGTAATATATGCACATAAAAAGGGAGAAAAAGCCACAGACAGAGCAGAATGTTCAAAACATCAACTAGATCATCCATTTTGGTTGTGTGTGTTTTTCCATCTCTTCTTCTAATACGTGTTAGTGGTGGTTAGTAAAGAGCTTAATGTAACACTAGCACCACCAGCTGGTACGGCGTGTTGATATTAATGATCCGCCCACTAAAGGGGAACAATGGGCACTGTGGAGACGGAAATAAACCGGTCCCACTGGAACTGGCCTAAATAAAGCCCAATAGAGTCCTACAAGAACCGGACCTGTGGATAAGGGGCTATAGAGACAAACAAGACAAACAATCATTCATTCTCTCTCCCTCACCTAGGGACAATTTATTACCCATCAGTCTAACATGCATGTTTTTGGTCTGTGGGAGGAAATCGTAGTACCTGGAGAAAACCCACATAGCATAGAGAGAACATGCAAACTCCACCCATAAAGTCCCTGGGCTGAGATTTGAACCGGCGACCTCGCGGAGAGGCAACAGCTCTACAAACTGAGCCACTATGCCACTCAATGGTGTTATTTGAGGCAGATTAAAGTTCTGAATTCAGTACCTTCCAAGTAAACACTGACCAAATCTGAAGCACATTAGCTGATAGTCACAATATGTAAGTGTGTTTGTGTGTTCTGTGTGTCCACCACAGAAAACAACAGAAATGCCCCAGCCCAGACTGATGCTTGTGGTCACAGGAGATGATTTTGGCTACTGTCCCAGAAGGAACCAGGGGATTGTGGACTGTTTCCTTGCTGGAGGTGTTTCCAATGTGTCCCTGCTGGTCAATGCTTCAGCAGCCAAACAGGCAGCTGATCTGGCTAAAAGGTAATGCGTTCTGTATGTTTACATAAGGCTGGGTACCTTTCTAAAAAAATCGGTACTGGTGTCGGTACCTTCACTTCGGTGTCGGTTCCTGGACGGTTCTTTTTTTGGTACAATTTTGTAATTACTATAAATTCTAACAAGAATAAAATTACGTTACACATTACAGTACATATTGTGAATTTTATTTTTTAACTTTGGTATTTCTATTCTAAGCAGTTTTCTTACATAAAAATAAACAAATAATTTCCAGTTCAAAAGACCAGTTTCAAACCAGTGACACATCAGTGTCTAATGTTCTCTGCTACACACTGAGGACCTTTTCACTAGGAATATGCGATATGGCATAAAATTCATATCACGATATGTATTGTGAAGGGTGGTGATAACGATATATATCACATTATGTTTTTGGTATAAAACTTGCTAAAAAAAAGCATAAGGTGTCTTTTTGCCATCATATATTTTGAATTAAGAAAATTACACTACTAGGTCCAGAGAGTTTTTAAATAATAAACAAATCAAGTATTAGGCTTCTTTCTTGTAGTGCAAAACGGTGCCAAAGATATCAAATGTAGTTTTAGCCATATGTTTTAAACAAAAAAATATGTTATTAACTCTTAACATTTTCCAATATTCTTACTTAAGAAATGAACAGCAACAGAGCAGCATTTTACACTGAAACACTTCACCCTCCAACCCTCTAGTTGGCGACGCCTTCTGCTTTAAGGAGAGCTGACACAAAATGAGTCTGTGGCTTTGGCCAGAGGGTCTCGCAGTAAAATCACACAACACATCGTTCTTTTCACAGATCAGAGAGCAGGTTTCTCTAAAGATGACCAACGCTTACTTTAACTTTTGATGGAAGAAAAAAACAACAAAACTTTCGATGGAACACGGTGTTTTTGCGCATGCGTCAGAATACGGCAACACTACGGCAAGCCGGACATAGTTAGCTTGTAGCTTTGCTACTTAGCCCTCGAAGAAAAAACTAATGCCACTTGCGCACAGTTTTCAACTAAAAAAAGTAACGATTAAATCTGACAACTCTGATTTTACATTAGACACAGCATTACTGCGGTTAGCCGGTAGAAGACAGATCTCTATCGTAGGCTAAATTTCTATAGTTTCTACTGTATACCGTATATATCGCGCATTCCTACTTTTCACTTAACAGTTTTTCTTCAGAAACATCAACATGTCTTCTTTCTCTGGACACAAACAAGCCCACTCCTGCCTGATGGTGTCTCCAACAGTAGAAGATGTTCACTCTGAGGCTGTAGATGATGATTGTTGCACACACAGATACCTGGTTGTCAGTTTGATAGCACTGACATATTGTCCCTCACATTCCACCAGCAGGTCTCTGGATTCACTGAGGTTAGGGTTGATGGCAGACTTCTGTACCTCTGTCTCCGCCCGAATCTTCTCTGTGGTTTTCTGGGGTTTAGGGCTCTGATCATCTCCCTAATTGACATGAGAACACAAAACATCAACAATAGCATGGTTGTGTTATTATTAGTCAAAAAACATTATCTAGGCTGAGAAATGAAAGTTTAACTGGTCAACAATATCCTTTACAGTTAACTTACCTCCACCATGCAGCCTCCACTGTAGAAAAAGCAGCAAACTTTTAACAACAAAGTCTGTGACTGTCCTGTGGCCCCCACCTCACTTTTCTTTTGTCTGTCTCTGTCCTCACATCAGGGTCAGAACCTCCTGTGAGGAGAACATTAACAAACAGTGAACATTAGTGAACTGTTTAAGCAGCTGACTGGATGGATGAGCACATTTTTACAATCTTCATCTGTTACTGTCAATCTTTAGTTAGCTTCTGAGTTTAGCTAGCTACATAGATAAAATAAATTTACACACTAATATCTTAAAGTTAGTGTTACATGGATTCTAGTTTAATTCAACGCGATGTACATGTTAAGCTGCAGTAATGTTAACAAACGTAAACTCACCAGCTGAAACACAGACACAGCTCCGTCCTCAGGAATTCTTTGATGAAGACAAGTCCGGCCGTGGAATGTTGAGTCCGTTTAACACACACAGAGACTGACTAACGCTGAGAGGAGGAGGGGAGGCTGCTGTCCGTCTGTCTTCTTGCAGAAAACCATGGAACAACTTTCTGCTCGTAAATTGAAGCTGTTTGACAACACGCGCTGCACACGTGAACCCCGTCTGTGGGCGTCACCAGCACCATAGACATACATTATACATTGATTAGGTATGGCAGCTCTATACAGCTCTGGGTGTAAACATGTAGTCTGTTTGTCATATGTCTGGTGTTTTACATGCCTGCGTACTGAAACCACGTGACACGTTACAGCCAATACCGAAACTTGACACCGAAAAAAGAGTGACATTTCAATCCATACACCGACCGGTGCAGTTCGGTGGATGACATAAAAGAACCTCGGTTCGGTACTCAGCCCTGTGTTTAACCCTTAACAGACTTTGTTGAAGCAGACTTCACAGAAACTGATGGATTGTTGAGGTTTTTTACATAAAGTGAATGTTTTTCTTTACCAGATATTTTGAATTAATGCAGCATTTCAAACAATAGAGTTCCATCTATTATCTATCTACCGGAATTCTGGCTCTGATTTCTTTAGTTGATTATTAAATTATTCATCATGTGTGCCAAACTGAATACTTGTCTCTGATTGGTTGTCTACTTAGAAGGATGTCACATCTCAGACTTTATTAGACTCATGAATTTTTCAACACAAAATATTTTTATTTGAAATAGGATCCAGTTTCAGTCAGTAATGAATTAACAAGATTTATCACCTTTTCATATTTTAACTGATGTTTTAAATCAGACATCGAATCCCCATTGGACTCCATGCCAACTTGTCAGAGGGAGCTCCAGTGGGTCAGAACCTCCAGCAGGTCTCCACTCTCATAAACTCACGGGGATTCTTCCATGGAAAGATGGGCTTTCGTCAGGCCTTGGAGAGGAGCCAGCTCAGCATGGACCAGGTACCTGAGCGGATCTTTGATCCTGTCTCAGTAAAATGTGTGCGTCTGTGTGTGGGTGTGTGTGTGTTTGTGTGTATGTATATATATATATATATATATATATATATATATATATATAATGTGTGTGTATAATGTGTGTGTATATATGTGTATACTATATATGTGTGTATATATGTGTATACTATATATGTGTGTATATGTGTGTATACTATATATGTGTGTATATGTGTGTATACTATATGTGTGTATATGTGTGTATACTATATATGTGTGTATATATGTGAATACTATATATATGTGTATATATGTGTATACTATATATGTGTGTATATATGTGTATACTATATATGTGTGTATATATGTGTATACTATATATGTGTGTATATATGTGTATACTATATATGTGTGTATATATGTGTATACTATATATGTGTATACTATGTGTATACTATATATGTGTATACTATATATGTGTGTATATATGTGTATACTATATATGTGTGTATATATGTGTATACTGTATATATGTGTGTATATATATATGTGTGTGTGTATATGTTTATGTATATATATATATAT